CTAGGGGAAAAAAGAAAACTTCAATCCTGGCGCACACTGCAGCAAACACACAAAACCCTTTTTGTTCCAAGGCCAAAGCCCCGAACAATGACCCATCGGGGCGCCTTTGAGAAATGTTCACGTGCCCACTGGAGCAGAGTTGAGTGCGTTACAAGCAGGGAGCCCAGGAGTTGTCTATAAATTGGTGGAAAATGAAGTTCCATTATAAATCCTTTTAACAGCAGGTATCACTGGCACCCTCCTTGATGCATGGCACTTTCTCCATTTGAGAAAAGGTCTCATTCCAGGAAGCAGTGGAGAAAGTGCTTTGCAAATGAATCCTTCCTGACAGACCCCTGGCTGAGATAGTCACACCTACAGGCCCTGATGTGTGAGGCTCCATCCCCATCTGGGTTCCGCTTAGCTTGCAAGCCTGTGGTTGGACTGAGACAGAAGGCATTGGCTTGGAAGGGGTCAGTGATTTAGGCCCTCTCTCACCTACGAGGTTTCTTTCCTATGAGTTAGCAGTCTTCTGACTTCTACTACCGACTTCAAACTTGTTACCTCACATGAGTTCCTACTTCTCCTATGACCTGGCTGGACCCTTTACCTTTCTGTCAGTCTTCATGGCTCCTTGTCCTGAGGCTGATTCCCTTCACTTCTTCTACCACTTAGCCGCAGGCTCCCAGGGAACCCAGCTGTGGTTCATGCAGGCTAAGTGACCTGACCTCATGATCACCATCTCTGGATGTGCTCTTAGAAGGCAAATTGGGTCTTTTGAAATGAAACACAACCAGCCTTGCCTTCTGGCCTCAGAATGAATGATTTATGAAACATATTATTACCCAATTGAAGGAACAGGAAGACTCACCCACTCACTTATTCATTCAATAAATAATTACACAGCACCAACAATGTGCCAGGCATGCTTCTAGGCATTTGGAATACACTGACAACCTACTTTTTAAAAACACTACCTTGGTGGGGCATACTGGCTCATACATGTAATCCCAGCACTTTGGGAGGCTGAGGTAGGCAGATCACCTGAAGTCAGGAGTTCCAGACCAGCCTGGCCAACATGGTAAAACCCTGTCTCTACTAAAAATACAAAATAAATTAGCCAGGCATGGTGGTGGGTGCCTGTAATCCCAGGTACTCAAGAGGCTGAGGCAGGAGAATTGACTTAAACCCTGAAAGTGGAGGTTGCAGTGAGCTGAGATTGTACCACTGTACCCCAGCCTAGGTGACAGAGCAGGACTCCATCTCAAAAAATAAATAAATAAACAAACTCTACCTTGAAGAACTTTTTAAAGATGTTTTTCAGGTGCAAATGTCCTAGATGCTAAAGAGTGTGGTATGTTTTAGGAGCAGAAGAAGGCGAGTGCAGCCGGAGCACAGCAGAAGTAGTGGCGAGAAGGAGGCCAAGTTAGGCAGAGCTCAGATCACAGACCTGGACACACAGGTAGGTTTGATTTTTTCCTAAGAATTATGAGCAGAATGGTAATGATGTTTAAATAAGGTTTTAAAATATTAACATGTCTGCTCCTTGGAGACCAGGTTTTGAAGGAACGAGAGAGGAAGATGGAGACCAGTGAAGAAGCTGTTCTGGAATGATCTGGGCAACAAGAAAATCTTGGGAAGCGCCTTGAGGACGCTGCTGGGAACCCAAAGAGAAGACTATTCTGGAATGTGGAATCAGAAAACTTCCAAATGTAGAGAGCTCAGAGGAAGCGGCGTTTGAGCTGAGACTCAGAGATTTGGGGACGGCAAAGAGAGGAATGAGGAGCCCAGTCCGAAATGTGAGCAGTGAGGTGTTCCTGTAGGAATTGTGGGTTGTAGATAAAGAGGCTGCGGAGCTGAGGCTGCAGACACTGCTGGGTGCTAGACGGGAGAGGCCAAATGCAAGACTAAGGTGCTGGTCCTTTCTTTTGTGTGTCCTTTTTTTTGTGTAGTCCCAGCTACTCGGGAGGCTGAGGCAGGAGAATTACTTACATCCAGGAAGTGGAAATTGCAGTGAGCCGAGATTGCGCCACTGCACTATAGACTGGGTGACAGTGCAAGACTCCATCTCAAAAAAAAAAAGAGGTCAGCTGATGTTTTCCATAAGGGCCAGAGAGTGCATCTTTTGACTTTGCGGGCTAAGTCTTATTTTACAACTTCTCAACTCTGCAGCAGTAGACAAATTCATAAGCAAACGGGTGTGGCTGTGTTCCAGCCAAATGTTATTTACTGAAACGGGCCTTGGGCCAGCTTTAGCCTGCTGACTGTAGTTTGCCAGCCCCCAGGGTTAGGGGAAGGGAGGGAAGTTACCCAGTCTTGCAAAGGACGGAAAGGACCTTGTGACTCCAGTGGCAGTGTGGAAGGAGGAACACAGCTCCAAGAGGCCTTCTGCTGAATATCAGGGCAGTAGTGGGGAGGAATGGGAGTTAAGGATGACTCAAAATTTGTAGTCACAGGCGGAAGGGCTTTCCTCAATGGGTGGCAGGGGCTTAAGCTGTGGAAGCAGATGAAATATCTTCCTCCCACTTACCCCCTCACATACACAAGGATGGGAGAGAATGAATAGTAAGGGGCACTGATGTTTATCGGACAGCCAAAAAGTTAAAACCATGGCATCAGCTGAGGCAGGAGGTGAACTGCAGAAGGATGCAGCCTCCTCAGAGCCTCCAAGAAGAGTGCTTGGCCTCCAGAAGCAGAGCACTGGCCCTGATGGCATCAGGGATTTCGTCCAGTGCTTGGTTTCTCCAGCATCTTCTTCTGGTCCCTTAGCAATCAGGCAGCACCATTTACTGAGTGCCTGCCACCAATGTGGCCGTGGATTCGGTGCTCTCAGGGGCTGGGAAAGACTGTGTGGTGCAGCCCATACTGCTGTGAGTCCTGGGAGAGGCAGGAGCTATTAAAGGCCACAAGGGTTCTACTTCTTTGCAGTGCCTGGGAATGCTTTTTGGGGATGGGAGAAATTGTGTGAGGCAGATAAGGCACATGATAAATGTCCAAGTTGGGAGAGAAACATGCAAATATGCCTGATGGCAGGACTGAGCGGGCCTTAGAAGTAAAGAGGAGTCTTTAGGATGATACATATTTTTGTTTGTTTGTTTTTTGAGATGGAGTCTTGCTCTGTCACCCAGCCTGGAGTACAGTAGCACAACCTCCGCCTCCCAGATTCAAGTGATTCTCTTTCCTCAGGCCCCCAAGTAGCTAGAATTATAGGCATATGCCACCATGCCTGGCTACTTTTTGTATTTTCAATAGAGACAGAGTTTTTCCACTTTGGCCAGGCTGGTCTCGAACTCCTGACCTCAGGTGATCCACTTGCCTCAGACTCCCAAAGTGCTGGAATTACAGGCCTGAGCCACCTTGCCCGGTTAGATGTTAAATAATTAAAATTAACACACATGTGGGGAATTCTGTTTATTCTCTTTCTCTTTGTTTTACTGTACTTGTTATCACCTAGAGAGAATAGAATACAGCAGCTAAGAACGTGAAACCAGGAGACAGTAACCTGGGATTGAATCTCAAATTCTCCTGACTGTGTTAACCTCTCTGTGCCTCAGTTTTCTCTCTCTGCAAGATGGGCTGATGGTAACAGCCTACTGCCCAGGACTGGTGTGGCATTCAGTGGTCAGTACATGAAAAGGGCTCAGACTGGCTTGGTCTGGGATATCCTGTGTCGGGGACCACCACTGCATTTCCCTGTCATCCTTCTGGTCAGGCCTAAGCAAGAGGAATGTGGAAGTAGTGGCTGGGGGTCTAAGAAGCCCCCTGCTCAGCACTGATCACAACCCTGTCTCTTTTGCCAGCTCAACGAAACACAGTGATGAGAATGGCCATCACCATCTCCTTCCCTCTTCCCATGCCTTTCTGGGAAAGATATTTTCTTTCTCAAGATTGAAACTAGGTAGGTAGAGAACATTTTGCAGTTTTAATTAATACAGATTTATCTACCTCCCAGGGCTGTTTGCAAGATTAATCCCTACCCAATGCCTTAAGCTCCTTAGCAGACAGACACTGTGTTCTCACCAAATAAGCTGGACTTGTGATCTTAAGCCTGATTCTCTCAGCCACTGCCCCCTCTTCTCACATAACGGCCTTCTTGCTTGCTTTAAATTGGTTGGTTGCTCCCTGTGAATTTGAGTTTATCCTCTGCCTGGTGCAATTAAGTGTGAAAATTCTTGATCCTTGCCTCTGGTGAGGGGAGGCAGGGATATTTGTGTGGTCTGGGTTCAGACCTCTTAGCTTGGGTTCACTTTTGAAGTGACTCTGACAACCGAGGCTGTGGTCCCTGACCCCCTGGGTGGGTTTCTGAGCAACTCCTGAAGGGGTCAAAGACCCAGGCATGTGGTGGGGGAAGGGGCACAGAGGGGAGAAGGAAGAGGTGGAGGATATTGATGCATCTGCTAGCTGGGTAGAATAGCCTGAAACCACAGTCCCTGAATCAGTCATAGAGTTCCGTTTAGAAATGGTTGCAGGACATCACTCTGCTCATCAATTTGTAAAAGCTTGTTATGTGTAGAGTGTATCAGTATAAACAATCTGCATCTGGGGTTTTACCCAGCTCAGTGCTTTGCTTTTATTCCTTGAATTAAAAAAAAAAAAAAAAAAAAAAAGAACGGAGTGTTACAAATGTCTCCCTGCTCTTTGCTCATATTTAATATTTTATTTCTTGATATATTAGCCCATGTCTTATAGAGCTGCAATGACCTGGGTAAGTCAAGAGGAAAAGGGGGGCAGGAGGCTCCTCTGAAGCTCTGTGCATCGAAGAACCATAATAACATGTTAAAAGAATACCAAAGATCCACTCACTAAAGTGAAAATTGGAGCAAACTATCTCTTTGCATATGCTATAATTATATCAGCAGGTTAATATGGAAAAAATGCTGACTGTTATGTAAGTTAACAGTGGAAAAGGCTGTAGTTCTCACCTCGGCCTTGCTAATACTGATCAAAACTAACCGGAATCAGATTCTAATAGAACTTCAAAAAAATTTAAGGCAGAATTTCTTAAGAAAACTATGCGCACCACTGCCGGCGGCCGCGGAGTGGCGGATTCCGGAGCTACCCGGCTGGCACCATGTTCCTGACTGCGCTTCTCTGCCACAGCCGCATTCCCGGCCGTCAGTGGATCGGGAAGCACCGGCGGCCGCGGTTCGTGTCATCGCGCGCCAAACAGAACATGATCCGCCGCCTGGAGATCGAAGCGGAGAACCACTACTGGCTGAGCATGCCCTACATGACCCGGGAGCAGGAGCACGGCCACACCGCGGTGCGCAGGAAGGAGGCCTTCGAGGCCTTAAAGGCGGCCGCCACTTCCAAGTTCCCCCCACATAGATTCATTGTGGACCAGCTCGACCATCTCAATGTCACCAAGAAATGGTCCTAACTCAGCCGTCACCCTTGGATTTTATGGAGCAGGGGGCTGCCCATCTTAACCTGTTCCTGGAACTGAAAAACTGTAGCTTCTGTGAAAATGTGAGCCTTTGGACCAGTCTTTATTAAAACAAACAAACATGAGTAGTCTGCATATGGACTATCTGGGGCTCTAAACCCCCCAGTACTTAGAAGTCTAATCGCTGTCCTGTCGTTTCTTTAGACTGATAGGACAATAGGGATTTCCGCAGTCACAGATGATGTTTTGAAGGAGAGCTGCAATAAAGCCGCAGGCTGTGGTTTGAAAAAAAAAAAAAGAATGTTGACTGGGTAAACAACGAAATGAAGGCAGAAATAAAGAAGTTTTTCGAAACCAATGAGAATGAAGACACAACGTGCCAGAACCTCTGGGACACATTTAAAGCAGTCTCTAGAGGAAAGTATATAGCAATAAGTGCCCATATGAGGAGAATGGAGAGATCCAAAATTGACACCCTATCGTCAAAATTGAAAGAGCTAGAGGAGCAAGATCAAAAAAACTCAAAACCCAGCAGAAGACAAGAAATTACTAAGATCAGAGCTGAGCTGAAGGAGATTGAGACACGAAAAACCCTTCAAAAAATCAATAAATCCAAGAGCTGGTTTTTTGAAAAGATCAACAAAATAGACAGACCACTAGCCAGATTGATTAAAAATAAAAGAGAGAACAACCAAATAGATGCAATAAAAAATGATAAAGGGGAAATCACCACAGATTCCACAGAAATTCAAACCATCATCAGAGAATATTACAAACAACTCTATGCACATAAACTAGTAAACCTGGAAGAAATGGATAAATTCCTGGACTCCTGTGTCCTCCCAAGCCTAAACCAGGAGGAAGCTGAAACTATAAATAGACCAATAACAAGGTCTGAAGTTGAGGCAGCAATTAAGAGCCTACCTCACAAAAAAAGCCCAGGTCCAGATGGGTTCACAGCCGAATTCTACCAGACACACAAGGAGGAGCTGGTACCATTCCTTCTAAAACTATTTCAAACAATCCAAAAAGAGGGAATCCTTCCCAAATCATTTTATGAGACCAACATCATCCTGATACCAAAACCCGGCAGAGACCCAACGAGAAAAGAAAACTTCAGGCCAATATCCATGATGAACATAGATCCAAAAATCTTCAATAAAATATTGGCAAGCCGATTGCAACAGCAAATCAAAAAACTTATTCATCATGATCAAGTAGGATTCATCGCAGGGATGCAAGGCTGGTTCAACATACGCAAGTCTATCAACGTAATTCACCACATAAACAGAACCAAAAACAAAAACCACATGATTATCTCAATTGACGCAGAGAAGGCATTTGACAAAATTCAACAGCCCTTTATGCTAAAAACCCTCAATAAACTCGGTATCGATGGAACGTATCTCAAAGTAATAAAAGCTATTTATGACAAACCAACAGCTAATATCATACTGAATGGGCAAAAACTGGAAGCATTCCCTTTGAAATCTGGTACTAGACAAGGATGCCCTCTCTCACCACTCCTATTCAATATAGTACTGGAAGTTCTAGCCAGAGCAATCAGGCAAGAAAAAGAAATAAAGGGTATTCAAATAGGAAAGGTGGAAGCCAAATTGTCTCTATTTGCAGACGACATGATAGTATACCTAGAAGACCCCATCGCCTCAGCCCAAAAACTCCTGAAACTGATAAACAACTTCAGCAAAGTCTCAGGATATAAAATCAATGTGCAAAAATCACAAGCATTCGTCTACACCAATAACAGACTTAAAGAAAGCCAAATCAAGAGCGAACTGCCATTCGCAATTGCTACAAAAAGAATAAAATACCTTGGAATACAACTCACAAGGAACGTAAGGGACCTCTTCAAGGAGAACTACAAACCACTGCTCAACGAAATCAGAGAGGACACAAACAGATGGAGAAACATTCCATGTTCATGGTTAGGAAGAATTAATATCGTGAAAATGGCTATACTGCCCAAAGTAATTTACAGAATCAACGCTATCCCCATCAAGCTACCATTGACTTTCTTCACAGAACTGGAAAAAACCACCATGAACTTCATATGGAACCAAAAGAGAGCCCGCATAGCCAAGTCAATTCTAAGCAAAAAGAACACAGCGGGGGGCATCACACTACTGGATTTCAAACTATACTACAAGGCTACAGTAATCAAAACAGCATGGTACTGGTACCAAAACAGAGATATAGACCAATGGAACAAAACAGAGGCACCGGAGGCAACACAACATACATACAACTATACAATCTTTGATAAACCTGACCAAAACAAGCAATGGGGCAAGGATTCCATGTTTAACAAATGGTGTTGGGAAAACTGGCTAGCCATGTGCAGAAAGCAGAAACTGGACCCCTTCCTGACACCTTACACTAAAATTAACTCCAGATGGATTAAAGACTTAAACATAAGACCTGGCACCATAAAAACCCTAGAAGGAAATCTAGGCAAAACTATCCAGGACATAGGAGTAGGCAAGGACTTCATGAACAAAACACCAAGAGCATTGGCAACAAAAGCCAAAATAGACAAATGGGACCTAATGAAACTCCACAGCTTCTGCACGGCAAAAGAAACAGTCACTAGAGTGGATCGGCAACCAACAGAATGGGAAAAAATTTTCGCAGTCTACCCATCTGACAAAGGGCTGATATCCAGAATTTACAAACAACTCAAGCAGATTTACAGGAAAAAAACAAACAAGCCCATTCAAAAGTGGGCAAAGGATATGAACAGATACTTTACGAAAGAAGACATATATGAGGCCAACAATCATATGAAAAAATGCTCATCGTCACTGGTCATCAGAGAGATGCAAATCAAAACCACATTGAGATACCATCTCATGCCAGTTAGAATGGCGATCATTAAAAAATCTGGAGACAACAGATGCTGGAGAGGATGTGGAGAAAAAGGAACACTTTTACACTGTTGGTGGGAGTGTAAATTAGTTCAACCATTGTGGAAGACAGTGTGGCGATTCCTCAAGGCCTTAGAAATAGAAATTCCATTTGACCCAGCAATCCCATTACTGGGTATATATCCAAAAGACTATAAATCGTTCTACTATAAGGACACATGTACACGAATGTTCATTGCAGCACTGTTTACAATAGCAAAGACCTGGAATCAACCCAAATGCCCATTGATAATAGACTGGATTGCAAAAATGTGGCACATATACATCATGGAATATTATGCAGCAATCAGAAATGATGAGTTTGTGTCGTTTGTAGGGACATGGATGATTCTGGAAAACATCATCCTCAGCAAACTGACACAAGAACAGAAAATGAAACACCGCATATTCTCACTCATAGGTGGGTGATGAAAAATGAGAACACATAGACACAGAAAGGGGAGTACTAAACACTGGGGTCTATTGGGGGGAAAAGAGGAGGGCCAGTGGGAGGGGGAGGTGGGGAGGGATAGCCTGGGGAGAAATGCCAAATGTGGGTGAAGGGGAGAAGAAAAGCAAAGCACACTGCCATGTGTGTACCTACGCAACTGTCTTGCATGCTCTGCTCATGTACCCCAAACCTATAATCCAATAAAAAATAAAAAAAAAAAAAAGAAAACTATGCAACATCAGATGTCTAGTAATATGCTCTATAAAAAACTAATACCATGCCCAATAAATTCGATGAATATCCCATAGTATCTCAGGAATTCATAAGAATAAGTATGTTAAAGATTCTAAGAAGTCTGTAGACAAATGAGTTTCCTAATTTACTACACAAGGAAGCCTGTTGACCACAAAAACTTACTGAACACTACCTGAAATCGTTTTTTATCGAAATATCTTTGGAATTTAGTCCACAGGTTCTAGGAGGAAGTTCATGTGGACTTCTCAATATTGGTGATAACTGCATCTTTAAAATTTTAAAATACCCAACCCCTTCTAAAAGACCTGGGCCCATGCTGAAGAATAGAACTGGTGACTGAACATCCCTATGAAAATCTCTAAAACAATGGTTCTCAAGCTCTAGGATGTATCAGAATCAGCCAGAGAACTGGGCTCGTAGAGTGGGACAGGGCCCGTACTTCCCAAATTTTGCCAAGTTTCCCTGGAGATTCTGATGCACACCAAGCTTAAGAACCTCTGTCCTAAAAGATGGTTCCAGAAATGGAAAGGAGTCCAGGAAAAAAAATAGTGTTAGTCTGGCCTAAGAGCTTTTTCACATACTGAATCCACAAGTGTGGATCTGCCCAGCTGAGGGCTGCAGCAGTGCTGATACCTTGGGAGCTGTACTGTTTGCTTTGCCCCATATGTTGCCCATCAGACAATAAGGAGAACTAAATAGAAGGAACCACAAGGTACAGCTTTACTGGTCTCCAGAAGTCCCCATACCTAATCGTTCATCCAGCTGGGATATCAGATAATAGAATGATTACTGTGGGAGCTTGAGAATGAATGACCTGAGTCCATCATTAATCCTTTAAAAAAAAATCTCCAAAAGTGACCCTGAAATACACTAAAATCTACACTCTTCTTAATGGCTTTTACAGTTTATTACATCGGTGTGTGTACTACATAAAAAGCCTTCATTATTTCCAACTCTTTTTCATTTGTAATAACTGATTCAAAGAGCAAAGGCCAAAGAGTTGTTTCCAGGTAGCCTGTTTTAGGAAAATTGCTTATCGAATCATTAAAGATTGACACCATGCTCTGAATAATGGAGGTGAGTTCGCTGCTCCCTTCCCAGCTGACTGCCAGACATGGGAGCTCCCCACTGGACCCAGGTGGAGTGTCTCTACTTGGATGGAATAAAATTGCATTTCTTTATCTTCAGTCTGTTATGTATCCAGCTCACAAAGTTTAACCAGTCATCCATCCCTGCTCTGTTAGAGAGATTGACTCTCACTCAAGAATCAATTCAGTCTGCATATTTGCCAAAATCAAACAAGCTGAGACAACACTGGATTAAGATTTGGAAGTCATGGGAGTTGAAAGAGACTGAGGAAGAGAGACTCTTTGAAGAAGCTCTCCTTTGAAGAATAGATACTGTAAATTATCAAATGTATTTGATGACGCCTAAGGGTATTTTTAATGCTACCAGAGTTATAATGGAGGGAAAAAGCACTCATAATTTTTAAAAAGCTCAACCCTTGGATTTAGTAAAGAAAATGGTGAGATTTTTAAGCACTTGCTTAGA